CTATGCCATGAGATATTTCTCCTCTGCCATGGCCCTCTGTCATTCTGCCCTGCCTCTGAGCCAGTGGAATATGGACTGAAACCACCAGAAATTGTGAGGCAAAATAAAGCTATCCTCTAATTTGCAGGTGTCTGGTATCATGTCTCATCAATGAGAAAGTAACTAACAGCTAGAAAGGCTTGATCTGATAATATGTACATATTCATATCATTCAGATCTTTATTTTGATTCACAAGGTATCACTGGCCCTTTCATTTTTCTTCTTCCTTTGCATCTTGGTTATTAATATGTTGGTTCTTGAGGAAAAGGGCTTTACTGTAATTATCCTAATATGGTACTTTATCATTTTCTCTTTATTATCTGTCCTCTCCATATTAGATGTAAGACTTGGTCTAGATCTGGTCTGGATTGTTACCTGCTATAATAGCGGTATCTATATATACGCATGATATACTGCTGGACATTTATAGGCAGACTTAATGAAATAAATTGTTACGACAGTGAGCATGAAACTTGTCACTGCTGTCTCACTGAACAAGATTATTGGTCCAAAAGGACTATTCATTTCTTAGAAACAGCATTGTGGTTCAAGGCATTAATTTCTTAGTGTCTTCTCCAGATCTCTTGGCAAAACTCTGACAGATGTGGAACATTCCAGGGAATCAAGGAAAAGTAAAGTAGGGCATATCTAAATTGGAGCCATAATTATTTTAGCTCAGATCTTCATAGCTTTGAGTTTACAGGTTTTATGAAAAATAAAGAATTCAATCTTGAGTAAACCTCATGAAATCCTTTTAAAATTACCTGACTTTTTAAGTGCTATGTCCAGAGTATTTCTGGGTAGTGGGACTATTTCTTTACAGATTGCAGGAACAAAGCTGTTCCAGACACTCATTTGAAAATCATCACCAACTGTGAGAGCCATGAGAGTCAGCTTTGTGAATTCAACCTTTATTACACTAGTTTCATAATGTTAATGATTATGGGAAACAGGAGAAGATACTGCTCCACGATCCTTGCTGGCTCCCAAGTGATACCAAGGATAGCCTACTCTAAGAATAGCAGAGCATTTTAGGTGAAGAGTTGAAGCTGACTTGGGGATGTTTTACTCTGAAGACTTGGGAAGGCTGGAAAGCATTACTAAGCATCCTGGTTAATGGGATAACACACAAGTAGGGATCCTACTAGCAATGGTTTTGGTCATGAGAAACCTCAGAGCAACTAAAAATTACAAAAGTCTTTTGGTTCAGGAGCTACAGGAGAGTACCAAGTTCTGGCAACCTTTCCCAGGTCGCCCATGAGTGCTGGGCATCAGGCAGTACCATCACCTACCCAACCACAGTTAGGCTCCCATCATTGTTAAACTGAAAAGGGAAGACACAACCCTCTTTACTAAGCAACAGTAAACCATCTCTTTTCTATAAATGGAGAAGAAATACAGGTAGAAGATAAAAATAAAGAACTACTTTCACAGATACCAAATAGTTGCTAGCACTTTGGCCAAAATTTTTTTTTTCTGTTTAGACACATATATAAGATAATCACCAAAATTCTAGATGTTTACTAAATATGTTCAAAATATGAATATGAAGATTAATATGTGTGCCAAGCATGGTGGCACATGACTATAATCCCAGAATTTGGGAGGCCGAGGCACAAGCCTTGGCTATATAGTAATTTCAAGGCCAACCTGAACTGCACAGCCAGACCCTATCTCAAAAGACCCCACAAATACATACATACATAGAATGGTAAATGTGTGGTTTATTAGTTTTTTTCCTATTTACATCTGAGTTTCCAGCTCAAAGACACCAGGATGTTATACAAATAGTTGTGTTATTCATTCTAACCCAGCATTATCCAATATGGAGCACCTACCAGAAATGAAAAATAAATGATAGACCAAAAAAAAAAAAAAAGATCCTAGGTAGGACAGAAAAACTCACTTGCCCTTATAGAACATACTCCATTTATAGTTTTATTTTACATGCTTCTAAATATTTTAGTTAGCATTGGTCAGAAGCCTCAGCATAACTGATGCATTCCTTTTTCCATTTTTCTAGGAGTGACACTGGAAAGGCACAGCCTCAATCTGAATGCGTGATCTGCCTTGGAAGTGAAATGGGCATGGTTCTCTTTGTAGCAATGCACTTCAACAGTGAAGCTAGATTGAAATCATAGCATTTTAGGGCCGGGGATTTAGCTCAGTGGTTCTGAAGCCTGCCTTGCAAGCACAAGATTCTGAGTTCGATCCCTGGTACAAAACAAAACAAAACAAAACAAAAAATCATAGCATTTTCTATATGGCAAGAAGTGAAATTTCGCTTTTCTCTGGGTAGTAGTGTAAAGTTTTGCATGAATGGTTGGTATTCCACCACATTCCAATATCACTTTTAATGACCACAGCACTTCTCTCCAGTTCATTTTCTGGGGCCATGTTTTTTCTTTTTATACTTTTTAGCCAGTTCATGACATTGTATTTTGCCTAATGTTGTAAATCTGTATATCCCTATATATACATGAAAATATTATTTTCTCCCTAGTACTTATAAAACCTTTGAGATAATTACTAAATTCCTAAAATATTACACACCTGAATTTAGTAACCATGGAATATGTGCATCATGTTCATGTGGCACCTATGGCCTAAGAGGAAAGGATCTCAGCTGAGACCCTGTAATTAGTGGCTTTGCCTTAATCCTTTTTTTGCACCAGGGATCAAACTCAGGACCTTGTGCTTACAAGGCAGGCTTGGTACCACTGAGGTAAATCCCCATCCTTTTGCCTTAATTCTTACAGAACTCTTGCCTTTTACTCCTCAAAAGATGACCTGAGTAAGCTTTCTAACTCCTGATCACATCACATTTATATGCTCCAGGCTATCTGGACTTACAGAATAAAATATAAACTTCTTAGTATAGTTCTCAGCAAACTTCACCATGCAACTGTGGCCCACATTTCAGCTATACATTGTACCAGGCCTTGATTTGTCTTGCTATCCCTACATCCTTCCGCACATACAACTACATAAAAAATTTATATGAACATCTGTATTTTCTAGGTAAAGAACTAAGTGCTAGGGGTATAATGATGCATCATATTTATAAAATTTCTAATATAGCCAGATTAGGAATACAGGTAATTACAATGGTAGGGGATAAGTAGGAGGCTGGGGGAACAACCAAAGGGCTACTAAAGTGACACTTGGATAGAGTAAAGGCCACAGATGGCTTCCATGCAAAATTAATATGTCAGCAGAGATCCAAAAGTTAAATAGGAGTCAATCATCCAAATTGTGCCGTAGAGACTGGTGCCCTAGGGAGGGAGTATCATCCTAATGTCTTGGAAATAAGAAAATTTAAGGAACTACAATAATTTCAAGATTGCCAAAGTATAGAACTGGGCTGCAGAATGAACTACTGGCCGTTCTTCTATTGTTTTTGCCCATTTGTTTGCCTTTTCCCTCTTCCGTGGGTCTTTATCCTCATAGTCTGTTGGATGACCTCCAGTCATCACTTTGTGAACTTTTTCAAAGAAGACTTCCCAACTTGTCACTTCTGTCTCATTGAACAAGATTATCAGTCCAAAAGGACTATTCATGTCTTAGAAACAGCACTGTGGTTCAAGGCTTTAATTTCTTTCTTAGTGTCTTCACCTGTCTAGGGAAACTTCCATGGCATTTTGTGTGTGCCCTATCCCATTCTCCTCTGCACTTACAGAGATTTCCATGACCTACAGCCACTCGCTATTTTCTGATACCTTCACCCAGGTTTGGGAGCTTTGAGGCTGAGAATTTTGTATCTCTGTCTTCTGTTTTCTTGGCCCCTAGCACAGAATAAGGCACATAATAGACACACACACACATTTTTGAGTGAAAAGGAGTAAAGATGGTTAAGACCTTATTTTTATTCTTGCAATCCATCTGCAAATATATTGATCTGTGTTGCAAGACAGGCAATCTTCTCTGAACATGTAGAGGGGATGAAATTAATTCAAAGACTCCAAATCAAAACATGGATGACTCATGGAATCTTGTTCTCCTCCAAATATCATATAAAGAGAACAGTGACAGAACCACAATTTATTTGTTTTAAAAAGCCTACACACTACGTGCAACCTTCTGGGGAGGATAATTAATTGGACCAAAGTAAAAAGAGAATAGAAAGAAAAGCAAATATTTGAAGGGTTCAATTTAATTGAAAAGCATGATTAAGGAAGTCTTTGGAGAACTGGTCCATCAGAAGAGCAGGGTATCAGCACAATATTTCTTTTTTCTTTACATAAGTATCTTCTCTTAGAAATAACTTTTTTTCAAACTAAGGAAAAACAAATTGCAATGTGCAGATTTTGCTAGATCAAGGGGATGCTATTAACACTCTCCTAGTGATCCTCTCAAAAAGTCTTTGTACTAGTGGATTTGGGGTATAGCCTCATGGTAGAGAATGTGCTTAGCATGCACAAGGCCCTGGCTTAAATCCCTAGCACTGCTAAAGTAAAAACAAATAAAATATACTGTGTAGTAAAAAAACATTAAATGAAAAAGGCAGAAATTTAGAACAAATGAGTGTAAACAAAGAGAACTGAGAAAGTGACTAAGAGGGGAAATACTTCATGTAGTTTTCCTTCTGATAAAGTAAAGGGTAAATTATAAAGGGAAAATGTTCTCCCCAAAATGTACCACACTTACACACTTCAATGTGTTATTATTTCACTTCATATTAATGGTAATGCTCTTCTCTCGGAAAGCTCCTGTGGCATGAATAAAGAATATATGCTAATTCTGATATTATTATGAAAATACTGTAGCATGAGCTCTTCAAAAGATGAACAGCAACTGAAAGAACAGACCAGGTGTACAGCTTATTTTATATTTCATGGATAAAAGTTTGAAACTACCCTGCATAAATTATGTACAAACACAAAATCTTCAAGAAATGCATGCTTTGGCCACCCAACTTAGCACATCTCCGAGCAGAGCCCACTGTGGATGAAGCATGTACCTTCCACGGTTGCTCGCTTAGGCTGAATGGTGATGGCTCCCTCTGCAATATCTTCATGCTGGTGCAGGGGGTTTATTTTGGAGCCCCAGCTGTCCGATCCCACCCAAAGGAAATGGCCCACTTGGTCAGCTCTTTTGGCTGCTGCAAGGATCTGCCTGTGAAAAAACATGAAAGATACATTAATGATAAAGAGCAGAAGATGTACATCAGCATATTTGAAATTGAGTAGAAGGCAAACAAGCTGGTTCTTGAGAAGTAAATAATCTAGTTCTTCTCAATAAATAATCAACTATAAAAAAGTATACCTGAGGATTTATATCCCTAATACATGAAAAGATTTTATAAACCCATAAAAAAGTCAAAGCACTTTGAGGAGTTGGAAAGAATATAAAACTTAAGAGATAAGAGGAGAAATATAAACATTCAATTAACTGGAGGTACATTTTCACATATATTAGAAAGGATGGGAATATACATTAAAACTAGAGACAACATTCACATTTCATATTGGCTTAAATGTTTGTTTTATTTTGCACTGTGAGTTTTGGCTTGAAGTGAGAGAAATGACCACACTCATTCACAGTTGGTGATAAGTATCATTTCTTAATAGCCATATCTCAATATAAATCAAAGTTCTTACAGTATTAAAACAAACGGAATTTTATGTAAAACTGGTGAAATGCACAATCCATATTGATGAAAATAGTTTGTAAATAACAAGAAGAACAAGAAATGAAAGAATAAGAAAAATTATTAATGGAGAGTTATCATAATAGTATTTTGGGATGAAGGGAAAAAGGATGAGATATAACTGCATTTGCAAAACACAAAAACCTAAGAGTAAATTTCCTTTAGTTTGTAATATCACCAAAGAAGTGGTTTACTTGCCTCTAAGTACTTGAAGTTACCAGCTATTAAAAAGTACAGAGTTAAATACAGGAAAATTTTTGGAAGAACACATACAAGATGGCAAAATGAATCTTCCTTTCTCCTTCTAGGCAGGAAATGGAATGGTAATTTTCTAATAAAATTATAAAGAATAATTGTTCTGATACTGTGAGTACACAAACAAAAAAGGCAAATTAGAGATGGTTGTGTTAAACATGGGGATAGGGATAGGAAGGAATGATTAAATGTCAGAATGATTACAAGTCAGTAGAGTATGTAAATGACAGCCCTAAGACTATTCAGGATTACTAATCTCCTGCTTACAGAATGCTGTAAGCCAGGGGTTTGCTGCCTCAGGAAGAAAACAGTTTTTCTGGAAAGTTCTGAACCATCCCAGTAAAAAGACGCTAGATATTGACATAGATCTTTCCAATGCATGTCCAATTTGATGTGTGACCAACCCACTGAGACCCCCATTTGGTAAGGACTGCTCATGTACACAGTTTACACCTTACTCAATTGTGACCTGCTAAAAGTTATTAAAAATTAGAGAAAATCTCTAGTGGAAAACAGAAAAATTAACAAGAAAAAGGAAACTGATGTAGGCTGGGGAAGAGATCATGCATAAAGAAGAACAAAGTGACAAATACACTTAATTGAAAGTTCTGTGAAATCTGGAATAAGATAAATATAAAGTAACACAAAATGGTTCTTATTAAAAATATGAAATTACAGGATATTTGGGGAGATGAAAAGGAAAGCAAATTTTCCAAAAACCAAACCAACCAAAAGTTAAAAAATAGACAAGACTGCTAAAGATTAAATATAGGAAGGCTTGTATACAACTAACATTTTCAGCACAAATATACAGAGAAAATAAAATAATTTTTCAACTAATATTTTAATGAAGAATCCAAACAATTTAAAGTATGAATTTCTAAACTTAAGAAGCTCAACCAGTGTTAAAATCGGAGTAGAAATAAATCATATTATAAAATGTAAGATCTTGAGTCGCGCTGAAAACACCGAATCAGCCCGGTGCAGATGGGCAGGTCTGTGGACATCATCCGAGGTTGCCAGTCATGCTGAAAACACCGAATCAGCCCATGCCCCGGGAGCAAGCCACAGGACACCCCCCCCCCCCC